TTATGCATGCTCACCAATCTCAAATCTGTATTTTCAGGATCTTTTTGTCACACAGATTGTTAACTGAGAAATTCATAACTAGTCCTAGCATGAATTTCTGAATACTGAAATACATGTTATTATATTAACTTCTTAGATTTCAATTTCTGAGCTTATTAGGTTAAGTGGAAATTCTTTGTAATTTTAAACTAGTAATAATTTTCCCTCAAATTGGCTCCATTTATTTTACCTCCTCTGGATCTGGCTTAATGTGTGATAAAATTGTTCAGCATTTTCCATAAATCTATATAAAATTATACAAAAGGATTATGGAATACATTGTAATTATTATATTTTGCAAAGTCTTTATTTTAAAGTATCTTTTTTCTTTTAACTCACTGCAATTATTTCACAAATGAAGAACTCCAGTACATGGATGTTTACTATTCAGGATTTTTCCTTTGGTGATATTTTAATTTTTCTTAGCTCCTTTCTAAATCATTCATTGTCTTTCTTCTTCTTTATATGATAAGAGACTCCGTGGGTCATTGTTGTAATAACTCCCAGGCCTTTCTCCCACTAAAATTCCAACCACAAGTAAATCAAGAAACATACAGTGTTACCTCATAGTCAAGCTGAATTTCCTGGAAGAAATCATAAAACTTTTCTCATAGATTTTAATTTACTAGCCTTACTACTCTCAAACGTGCATTAAACTCCACCTAATAATCATTTCTCAAGTTATATTCATTTACACATAAACTGCGACTATTTTGTAACCCAAACTGGATCCTTTTCCCCCTGCAGAATTTTTAACCAATAAGAAGACAAGCATAAACTAGGTAGAAGAGATTTTTATTCTTGGTCAAGAACAGGAGAAATGAGATACTACACTCCCAAGTTTAACTTATAGTTGATGGAATGAAGTTTGGTGCTGGGAAGTAGCAGAACTCTTAACTGTTCGGGGTGGATGAAAGTAGTTGTTTCACTGGGCATGCTGCCATCAGAAAAGATTACTGTACTTCCACAGCAGGAACCTGGTTAGATCTTGCAAGAACAGGTTCTTATAAGCAGAGCAGGTTGGCTTCCAAAACTAGCTTACCATATGATCTCTTCATTCCTGCAATTGTGATGCCATCTGCAACGAGGTCCTCACCAGAGGTTTAACTGGTGGAGCCATCCGATCCTGGACTTCTCGCTATAAAATGGTGAGCTAAAGAGGTCCCTTTTCTTTATAAAGTACCTATTCTTTGAAATTTTGTTATACTAACTGGAAACAGAAGTGGACATGTAGAATGATATAGTGAAACATCCCACAGAAGACTCTCAATAAATAGAAATTCCAGTTTTATCTTCTAATTCCATCTATTTCTACAATTTGGATAACGTATGCAAGTAAAATTGGCAAAGACAGGACAAAGAAGAAAGCATGAAATATTGGTTGGTAAAATAATGCTTTGGAAAAAAATGCTTTGTATAAATTATTAACTCATCCTATGAAAGACCTGAAGACTTTTGGTTCTGAGTTTCAGATATAAGAGATAGAGAAGAAAAATATAAATAAAAGCATGAGGATATATTTGAAAAGGATAAGTTGGGTCTTTAAAATTTATTTATTTATTTATTTTTGTCTTTTTGAGACAAGGTCTCATTATGCAGCTCAGGCTGGCCTTGAGCTCATTTTGTAGCCCAAGCTGCTCTCAAACTCGTAATGATCCTGTTGCCTCAGCCTCCGGAGTGTTGGACTTATAGGCATGAGCTATCATGTCTGGCAAAAATAATCAGATTTTAACCAGACCAATTTAAGTAAATAAATTCTGATTTGAAATCTATCAAATATAACAATATTCTAGAAAGTATTGATTTTGAAGACTTTCAATATAAAAATAGAGACTAAAATTTTCCTGAAACTATACAGAAGACAAAATAGTTAGAAAACCCGTTATGCTAAATAATAGCTTGAAAATTAAGGTAAAAGCCTTGCAGTATTTCTTCTAAAATGCCAAGAATCAATTTAATCGTGAGAAAAACTTCAAATAAATCCAAATTTGAGCCATTCTACAAAACATGAGTAATACTTCTCAAAATTATTAAGGGCATGGGGAGAAGACTAATAAAATGGCACAGATAAAAACAGATGTGGAACTGGGGAGAAATTAAAACTAAATACAGTATGGCCCAATAGCTTAAATCCTAAAACAGAAGAAGGACATAAATGAAAAACTGGTGAAATCTGAATAATATAGAGTTGAGTTAATACTAGTGTATTAATATTGGCAACTTAAGTTTAATAAACACTACAGTAATATAAAGAAAAATTAGGGAAAATGGACACTGGATGATGGGTATATACATGGTGGTATACCATCTTTGAAACTTTCTGTTATCTATAGCTGTTCCAAACAAAAGGAAATTTTTTAAAAAGTCAATGTAAAAGTATGATACTAATCTAAAAGTTTAAGGACATGATCATTACAACATAAAAACAAAAATGAATACCGCTTGACCCAAAGGCTTATGAATATGCAAATTAAACAATCAATAACTGCTTTCCTACAAAAAGAAAAAAACCTGTAAGTATAGTACACTGGCTGATACCTGTTTATAAAGACTCACTGGCAAATAATGCCAAATGTTAATTTCTTTATCTGCTTATATGATGAGAATATATGAGGGAATAGAGAAAAGAAAGAAGGAATGGATGGCAATCAATATTTAGTTATGCTCAGTGTGTTTCTTTTTAGTTAGCTTAAAAATAAATGATAGAAAACCTAATACTTGAGTTTACACTATAATTGTTTACAAGCACATAAAAATACAATAGCACAATGAGTGATCTAAAAGTTCAATACACTCAATAGGTAGCAAAACTTTAAAAATTGGTGCTCATTTTACAAATTTAAGTATCTTCTATTGATCTGATGATAAATGTCAGACTTTCACATCTAGATGGGTCAGAATCCTTTATGGCACACCAATGCTTCAGCCACAAACAACAACAATAAAAAAGCAAGATTAAATACAAAAAGTCATATGGGGAAAAGCATCAGAAGCTATTACCATAATAGTAACTTGAGTGGCTGAGACCCTACAAAGACGTTAGTTAAATGGAAAGAGGTGACTGAGGTCTATAGTCATTTTTTTCCCCTTTAGAGTTTTAAAGATTCTAGGTATGGGGAAAGGGCTAAGAAATCAGATTGACTAGGAAGAGCTCTGGCTAGAGGACAGAGCGACTACTTGAGTTTTTATAGATACACAGAATTGAAGTAACAAAACTGGAGTAATAGTGTTTTCCATAGTCTTACAGTGCTTAGGGGACAAACACTAGAATTCAGGATGTGTCAGGATTAGGGTCTTTGAGAATTCTCAGCTCTCAGTTTGGGAGATTAAGGCAGATTCTTACTTAGCAAAACTCCCCAGCTCCATGGAAGACAGTACAGCATTTTGAACGAAGATAAAAATGAACTCATAGGAAACATTTAATGAAGTAGGAAAAGAACTGATTAAGTGATGATCTTGAATGAGGAAGAAAATATGTGACTTAGTATAGAAGCTTTAATTAGAGAATCACAGTAAAAAAGAAGTAAAGCGAAGAAACAGGGTATGCAAGTTCACGTTTTGTATGGAGAAAAGAGGTGCAAGGAAAGACTTTTAGACAGTACCCTAGAGGGGACAGTGAATAGACTAATGAAAGCCAAGAAGAATGCCAGGCAATAGTAAGGGCTAAGATTAGACAGCAAATTATGTGATTCTTCTTTGAGGTAAAGCTGTGAAGGTAGAGATCAGATAGGAAGACAAATTTAACCAGGGTTTGATTTTACGAGAAGAGGTGGAAAAAAGGAGAGAGGATCAAAAGAACTGAGTCTAAGAAAGTTGGTGATAATTATAATGGGCCATAGTCTCTAAGATCTGTAAGGAGAAAAATAAAATGGATATAGTAGTTTAAGCCATGGTTGGGAGGCTAAGGTGAATATCACAATTTCAAGACAAGATGAGGCAACCCAGTCTCAAAATTTAAAAATAAAGGCTGGGGATGGAGCTCAATGTAGAATCCGCAGAGTTTAAGGCAAGGTTGGAAAGAGAAATTCATGACAGGTTTAAGGCATCAAAAAGAACTGGTAAGATCCATAAAAGAAGGTACCACTAGAGCTGAAAAACTACTCAAAGTAGGAGTACTAGAGTAAATGAGCCAAAAGAAAGAAGATGGAAATATTTTTCAATGATTGAAAAAGATAAACTCTAGGAGATGAAAGATTAGCACATTGAAATATTGTGACAAGGGTAGATTGAAGAGACACAGAAGTAGACCCAAATCTTTACGGAACACGAAAAGTTATATAAAAGTATTTACATGACTACAACAGAGTATGCTGAGGAGTACAGTGTGATGCATATGCTTCAGAGCTGGAGCTCTTTAGGAAGGAAAAGGAATAGTGATCTAAAAAGCAATAATCAAGAATTATCTTCTATGTCCAATGATAGAACTGGTAAAGGACACAGTAATACAGGTACTACTTGAGAGAAGCTTCAGGGATTCTAAATAAGGTTTGAATTAGAACAGGAAGGTGTAAGTAATGTTCAGAACTAAGAGTACACTAATAACTTGACCCATTAAAAATATTGAGTAAAAGGCATTAAATTAGGCATTTGGAATAAAACAGTAAAAAAAAATAACAACCAAAAAAGACATTCTCAATCCCCACAAAGCTGCAAGAAAACTCATATAAAGGTGATTAAATAATATAATTACATTTTATAATAAATTAACATATTCTAAAGCACATATTTCACTAAAAAGATAATGCATTAAATTTTATAAATAAATGAAGGTGTATATTTTGAACAGCTTTGTAACTATTTTTGTATAGCTAAATATTGTGTATTAATTATATGCTGAAAACTAACGGATGTAAGACTACGTGGGCAAAATCACTTTTTAACAGTTAAATAACAGTAAGTATATGCTTTTATATACAGAAAAAACAGAAAGTACATGCTTTTAAAGACACTTGAGGAATTACCTGAGACAAAGCAGCATCCCGTTCTTCTATCACAGCATTCATTTCTTCTGCAGTTATTCTCTTTTTACACTCCTTAGTCTTGTAGATTCTATCCACAATTATAGCTCCATTCTTCTGAATAGCTATCCCTGTGTCTGCATTGTTTATTCTGTTCAGTAATTCCTGTAATGTCTACCAACACCATTATATGTTAGTCAGACATGAAGTTTTAATATATTTTATTTAATATAGGGTTTTAATTAATAGGCACATGTGAATTGTAAATTGACTGAGTGAAGTTATTGAATTTTCATATTGCAGCAAAGATGTACATTATTAGTGTGTCAATTCTTCTTTTTCCCACATCTTAGTTCTTGAAACCCACTCAATTGAATTTAAGCCTCTAAGATATAAGACTGACATCAAGAAATCTCCTCAGAGAATGGCTTACCATGTCATTTTCTTCAGGGTTAATATTTTCTAGCCTAGAAAAAAGGGACACAGAAAGCCTGATCAGTAGCATTTCCTTAGTGCAGCAAAATGAGTTCGCTTTTTAAATCTTTAGAACCTCAAGTAATTTCATTCGACTAGTCTTTAGAGTCAACCATGACACTGAACATATTAAAGTGCCACCTGCTCGACTCCATCTTTCAATAATGCTCTATATCTTCTGCACTGACTTCAGACTGTTAAGTTATTAATGTTTACTGCTATATATGACTACAAGGATCAATTGTTCATATGTGCTTAGATGAAGAAAGTTCCCCAGTGATAGAAGCACTCATACTCATCATTATATTTATTCCTGGACTTTCAATTCTTATCACAAACTGTATTTCCTCTCTTCCTGGACAGCATCACAAGCAAAACAACGCAAGTATTTTTACTACTAAGTTTAACTATGGGCCCTCAAAAGCAATGTCAAATAATTACATTAAATTTGAACGGAAAATCTCTTGCTGCTATCTATTTGTTAGAACAAATATACTATACGGGAAGGCTGACGAAAACTGATGACTTGTGTTCTTGTTTTCAAATATGGTGTTATTCAACTAAAAGACACAGGACGTAATTTGGTTTCCCTTATAAATGCATTTTGTCTTACAAGAGGCATAGCACTGATTGATGAACTGAAGAAATGCATTAAAGTAGTTCTGAACAGCATTTTAGAAAATGATTATAATTTAGGCAACAACTAAACTGAATAAATTAATAGAAAACCTGTAATGGATTTTAGTGAAATGATACATATTCTAGATCAATCTCAACTGTTTTGAAAATAAACTTTAAAAAATCAAGATATCCAAGTTATTGTTTTCAGAAGTATTTTATCAGCTAATATCCAAATACTAAGTGGTTTACTTTACTTTGCTCACTCATGATCAATATATCAGGCCTAACATGTTAGATTTACCAAAAGCCAGTTCAAATTCATTTTTCAGAAAACAACAAGCCATTACATTTCGTAATATATTACGTGTATTTTATGAGGCAGTCACACAAATTAAACTCATATATGCTTGCTACAGTAAATATATAAGCCTGGGATGCAAAGTGGGTTGAAAGGAGTCTTGGACAATATCAAATGCTACAGCAATTATCACTCTCTGCTGTATGAAATGTGAGTTTCAGAATTTTGGAGAACTTACATAGGTTTTGCTTCTTTAGAAAATGGAATGGGGACCAAGGCAGGGCAAGAGGGAGGGTACAAAGGGGAAGGGTATCTAAAAATAAATTAAGGTATGTTATGTGAATGTATCACCTTTCCCACAATGAACTGTAATTGTTATGTACTGAAAATGTGCACTAATAGAAATTTAATATATTTTTTAATTTTTTTAAAAAAGGAATTATTAATGAAAATAGTAAGAAAAGGACTCAAGTGATGAAAGCCTTGGAATCTATGTCATCTGAGGAACTGATTATGCTGCCTATATGACATTTCTATCATACTACTTGATTTTTAAATCTACATTGTATAGTACCATAAAATGATTCGCCTAAACTGGACTGAATATACCATGTCCACAATGGATTTTCAAGAACCATGTGTAGTACTTAATTTTAAAGAAATGAGTTTTTCAGAAATGTTAACCAATAAGCTTAAATAAGCTACCTTCATATTTTGTTTATAAGATTGAAGCAGTATATCTTTTGAGCCTAGAGTAAATATATCATGCAGAAACATTATTTGTGAACTCGTAACTAGTACTCTTATTTTTATTTTTAAAAGAAAATCCAAGGTAAGATTAAATTACTAACTGTCCCAACATCTTTTATAAAGAAACGCCATTATAAATTATGGACCTAAGTGCTACTAAAACAAAAGAAATGTGGAGGTCTGAAAGTTTGTACATGTTCTCACTTAGTGTTAGTATATAAACAGTGTGCCCATAAAGATGAAAATACAAGAAGCCTGTACTAGGAAAAAAAAATAATGACACTGTTAAAAATGCTACAAAAAATGTTAAAATCTGCAAAACAGTTGAAATTGTTACACTTATAGTAAAAGAAATAATTTTAAAATACTGCATCTTAAAAGAAAAATAAACATAGCAAAAGCTAATTCTATACATACTTAAATTCAAGAAGGTATAGTATATTGAATATATGCAATAATGTATCCTTAGCTGCTTGATATATGAAGAAATCTTTCCTTCTATATTTTTCCCTCAAATAAATCAAACTTTCAAAGATGCTTCATAAGTTTGTTCTTCAAGAACCATGAAAATTATTATCTGTTTACTCAATTGAAAAATACAATAAAATTCTAACATTTATGATCACAGTGAAAGCAACAGTAGCACTTAATCATCAGTTATTGGTTGGTTTAAAAATGATTTTAATGAAATCATTTGTAGTGGGAAATTTGTTTTAGTGGTATGTTTTTTCAGATGAAATCAGATTATGAGCTGATTATGGCAGTTTACCGATACAATTCAGTTTAAATATATATATAACTTTCACAATTAATTATGGTTGACAGTTTAAAATGTACACAGAAACAACTAATTATTTAGATTCATAGATTACTGGGTATCATTAAAAATTTGGTGACTTAAGATAATAAATCTCCACTTTTAGGTACAAAGAATTACATATAACAAGGATGAAAACAACTGTAGTTAGGCTTCCTGACTTCTGTATCTCTAACACAACATAAATAATTTCTTTGTAATATTTATAAATTTTCTTTAGGCACTGCCATGTGAAGTATAATTAAAGAGAGACATAGATGAACAGTTAAATGTTTTAAACACTTAACAGGAAAGTGTTGAAGCAATCATATTTGCTTTAAAATTAAAATTATCTGCTAACAATTACTCAAGAACTTTTAAATCAAAATCAAATTTTCTTATCAAGGGCTACACTACATCCCAGGGACATGAATTCGACATTCAGACTTCAAATAACTTGTGTGACTGCCTATAAAAATATATAAAATGTAATGATTTGTTATTTGCTGATAAATGAATTTGAACTGTTTTTGGTGAATCTGAGCAATGTCAAATAACCTGCCTTTGGATATCAATCATGCTTTATCATTATTCTTTACATATTTGTAATTATAGTGATAAATGGCCATCAATAAAAAATATGATAATAAACATTTTAAAAGACTGAGATTTGAAAATTTGTATGGAATCATGCAACTTTCAATATAAATTTGAATCTATAAAGAGAAAAGGCTGATATTTGTATTTTTTAATTTGCATTTCTTTATAAGTCTTAGGAAGTATTTGTCACAGATATCAAAGTGATCACATTATAATTTTATCTTTATTATTTACAGCCAAGATCAACAAATTTTTCTGGTAAAAGGTCAGAGAGTAACTGTTTTAGGCTTTGCCTAGATTCTCTGTCGTAACTATGATACTTAGCCTTTATAGGGCAAAAGCATCCATAGATAACATGCAAATGAATGTGGTAACACGCAAACGAATGTGTTCTAATAAAGTTTATGTACAAAAAAACAGGCAGAAGGCTATTACTGCATCAGTCCTTAATACGGAGTTTTGGAAAATGAGACCACCTCTTTGATGTTAATACACCGCAAATGCCAATTCAATATGGTTTACATAATTTTCTAAGAGTAATAATTCAACATCTAGTTAAAGATTAAGAATCAACAAAAATAATTTTCATAAAATTAATTTCTAGCATACATTCAGTACGCCACTGACTGTATCACTTAAGGTAACACAAAAATTAAATAATCATTTTTAAGAACCAATTTGAAATGGCTATACCAGGCCTTCGATTTTCTGTATACAATTACTGACATATTAAGGTTTACTTGTAGCATGTACAGCATAGTAAAAAATTAAAGTAATGGTTAGTGTTATATGAAATATAGCTCACAAAGTATAAAGACTTAATATAGAAAAAAAGAATTGTGATGTGTCAAGTCATGGTGAAAATTAATCATTTTGTAAACAGGTATTACTAATTTTTCAAAAGGAGAATGTAATAAAAGCATCTAAACCTGTGTAAACTCTAAATTATGCCTACTACAGTTTAACTTGATGAAGTCATGATAATTAGAATTTTGCTGAAGTAAATGTCTACAAGCTCAAGTTTTGATTGATTTCCTATACCATGCAAATTCTGGCTGACAATCTTGCACTCTAAGTGAAAAGACCTATACATGAAATGTCACATTTCTTGATTTATCCCTAAATCAGTCAATATCACCTTTTTTCTTCCTGAAACTATAGTGAGTCATCTTGTCCAACAGTAAGAAAGCAAAACCCTGACCTCAAATGACAAAGAACTAGTGATCAGTGCTTCAAAGAATTCTGACTTTTTTGCTCTTATTCTCATTTTTACACAGTGCCAAAATTAATTTTTAAAAAACCCTAGGAATAAAAGAGACTGAAGAAAGGTATTAATATCTCAGGAGTTCAAATGTACATATACAATATGTGTACATTTGTATGTATACTGACTCATTTTAACATAAATCCTTATTTTCCCACAATTTTAGATAAAAGCCAAAAATAAATCAATAAAAAGCATTTAAAAGGCAAGGGTAAAGGAAGAGCAGAAAAACACCAGAATATGATGAGACATATGCTACAACAGAGAGATACAAAGTAGGTCACAATTGGCAACAGAGATAAGGGAAAAACAAAACAAGGAATTTGAAGATCACAGGATCATAAGATATAAGATACAGGGAACTGAAGGAAGTGTGAAGTAATTTATATAATTACATTCTATATTCAATCCCTGAAAATATGTGTTAAAGTAAACCTTGGTAATGAATCTATGCTAAAATTTAACCTATAGTGATCTTTTAAAGGTTCAGAAGCTACAGACTCAACTAAAGAGAAAGAAACCTCCGCAGTACCATATAACATTGTAAAGGTATCTTTCCTTTTCCTTCTTGTTTTTGCTCGGTATGAATGTCCTTTCTTAATTCCTATTCACCTGCACTCCTTTTCCATATCATGATATAGAAGAAGGCCCTATTATAAATTGT